TATAATAGTAACTATCCGACCATTCAGAACAGACTTACCTCCTCAAACAACAGGCTATTGAGGGCGCTGCGCAGGGGAAAGAGGATGAGCGGAAAGGAGGCGGTCACGGTGTAGAGAAAGCCCAGACGCACTAATGCGCTGACAAAGTTCTCCGGGTACATGGTCAGCATATTGCCGGCCAGAACGCTACCCTCATCCTCGCCCTCGATGAGGGCCAGGTATCCAAACAGTCCAGCCTACGCGTAGAAAGAGGAGAGAGAAAGAAAAGGGTGTGGTTAAACATACACGGACTACGGAATACCAGGTTGGACTGTGCAAACCTCTGTCTGTCATCTTCCAAAGTTTTTTGAAGAAGGCGAACTCCCGGAAGAATGGAAGTGGGCACTTGTGACTCCAACCTATAAGAGGGGCTCACGACTTGACTGGGTAAATTACCGCCCAGTCAGTTTAACTTGCATCGCGTGCAAAATAATGGAGCCTATTAGCATAGGGTATTTAATGGTATTCCTGGAAAGAATATTATGCGATGGCCAGCACGGATTTCGTCCAGGATGCCTTGCCTCACGAGTGCTCTTTACTCGCATACGAAATGGATAAAGGCCACAAAGACTATCCAATTGATATCATATTCTTCGACACAGGCTTCGTTCACAGAAGACTTGGGACGTGGGGATTCAAGGAAAACTCACGAATAGAAACAACAAGAAACCACGGCTCACTCCTGTCCAAGCACGCAGGCTGCCACGTTAAGGTCACACGCCATAACGCCAGGGAAGCGTGCAGGGGAGACAAGATAAGATGGCGTGTGCATGGACCAATCACAAGCGCAACCCCATTCCACCCCCATTTACGCGTACCCAACGTTCGTTGCTTTCTCATTTTCTCAGACGATGGCTTCTCGTGTGGAACCGAAAGCTCAGAACAATAAAATTGCCGTTCCAGAGATCGCGTGTTCTTTTTCTTTATATCAAGGAAAACTGTTTAGGTGGATGGAAAGTGTTTTGCCCCTCAGAGAACGGAGGTTCCTTGTTGGAAACTCAACTTCGGAATGGACAAAAGTAGAAAGTGGTGTGCCGTAAGGTTCTGTTTTGGGTCCGCTACTCTTCCTAATCTACCTAAACGACTGCCTCAACGTGGCTTCTTAAGTTTAATGCAACCAAGTATCTAGTGTGTGGTTTCCTTGTTTTCTGGCTTGTTTTCCTTTCTAGCACTGCGCTCATCAGGCAACCAATCAGCTAGGCGGTGGGGGGGGGAGAGAGTGAGGTCGACCCTCAGCACATTTTCTCATTCACTAAAAACAATCTGACGCGCTTGAAACTATCAAGTTGTGCTAAAAGCTGTGGCTTGGAGACTTGCCAACTGACGAGATAATTTGAACACTGCAGTCGATCCAGTGTGTGTCTTGTTGTGTGGAGTGGCCTACTGCGGGCTGAGAGTCAGGTTGTGATTACTCCTCTTAGTGTGGCCTTTTGGCGCTCCCAAGCGGGAGCCTACCTAGTGAGGTGTGCTGTTGGTACGCCTGTTGAGTTTTGGTCGCGCCAGCCGCCTGCGCCCTCCCTAATCTCCAGTTTTCTCGACATTTTTTCTTGACACCAGGTTCAGGTGTGGGAGTGGTGAGAGAGTGGGGTAGATTCTCCGCAAGTCTACTTTCACAATAATCCCGCGGGAGTCACCACCTTAATTCAGCCTGCTGAAGCTCATGGCGGAAATCGTAGAGAGTCATGGTAGAACTGTCGTGTGTGAGAAAGACAGAGAGAGAGAGACAGAGAGAGAGAGAAAGAGAGAGAGACTGTACACAGAAACGTCAATTGAAAATTAAACCCCGTAGAGGCTAGTAATGGGCACCACCAACTTGTTATTCGGAATTAGCAGTACACTGGATGGACACTAAACAGCACAGAAGAATGCCTAGTTGCCCTTCAGTTCTTTCAAATCAAACAGGCGTCGAAGACAGTCGGAAAGATACTATTCCTGGCAGAGTTAGCAACTCCCTGAGTCACCCAGGGGGAGGGGAGGAGTCGGGATTCAGACCGAGAGTCGGCAGTGAGGTTTTCCCACCTCTTGTAGCTCGCACTTAAAAAGAAGATCAATAACTTGTTGGAGCAGCTGATTATAGAGCGATTTGCATGTCAGGGGGAGGGGGGGGAGCGGGTATCGCCAGTATCTCCGATTACCTTACTATCATGTTTGTAGGTAAAAAGCGGGGGGGAGGCTGGCTATCGCTAAGATAAAAGGAGGCAGCACTTACAAGGGCGTAGGCCGATATCACGAATAAGATGGCGTAGGTGAGTGCCTTACGCATATTGCCATGCGTCTGTTCCCGCAGACTGTTGTAAATTACGTGCACCTGCCTACAAGGCAATCAGAAACACACAAGGTCACCAAAGCAACAAGTAGACCGCAAATGAAGGCAGATGGGGAGAAAGAAAAACTACACGGACACAGATGTTCAGGTGAGAATTTGGTGGGAATACCCCCATCCCCACGAACACTCATCGCACAGAAAGGCGCCTGTATGAGCTGAACGCCATGAGAGCGTGCACCTGGACCATGGTTATCGATTACTTGTCAGATCTGGTTGGTTCATGTCCCTCCAACACCTTAT